TGATAATATGTATACAGAGATGATCATGCAGGAATATCTCTCTCAGGTCATCTACATACCACGTTTAATATCAAAACTTAAGACAGTAAAATACTTTTTGGGGGTGGAAGTAATAAGGAGTAAGGAAATGATTTATATCTAAGAGGAAGTATGTACTTGACTTACTTGTGGAAACAGGAAAGCTGAGAACTAAAACATGCAATACACCAACAGTATCAAATGTAGATCTTACAAAAGATGATGATGATCCCCTTTAATGATCCAGAGAAATACATGCAACTAGTTGGGAAATTGAATTACCTTACTATGACTTATCCATATATTGCATATTCTGTCAGTATTGCAAGTCAATTTATGTTTGCACCTACAATCAAACATTAAAAAGTTGTGGAACGTATTTTGTGCTATCTAAAAGGTGCCCCGGAACTTGGTATAGTCTTTAGAAATTATGTACATACTCATATTGGATGTTTTATAGATACTGATTGATCTGGATCTAAGATTAATAAGAGATCTACTACGGGATATTTTGTTTTTGTTGGTGGGAATCTTGTATAATGGAAAAGTAATAAGCAAACAGTTGTATCTCGCTCAAGCGCAGAGTCTGAATATAGAGTTATGAACCAATCCACATGCGAAATCTTATGGATACATCACCTTTTAGATGAAGTGGGTTTGAAGCCCACATCTCCTGTAAAACTCTGGTGCGATAATAAGACTGCCCTTTATATTGTTTCAAATCCTGTGTATCATGAGAGAATCAAACATATCAAGATTGATTGTCACTTTATCCAAGAGAAGATTTAAAAAAACTGCATATCTACTGTTTCTGTGAAGACGGGAGAACAATTTGGTGATATGTTCACAAAACCTCTCAATGGAACACGAATTGAGTATCTTTGGAACAAGAAAGACATGATTAATATTTATGTTCCAGCTTGAGGGGGAGTGTTAGAATATTATAGAAGATCTATATGCATAATAAGTTGATTATGTTTTCTGATGTAATAAACTAATTAGGAAAGAAATTAATAAGCTAATTTATATTGGTTACCATATATGATTCTATTTACATGTATATATATCCCTACTTTTATTTTAACAAAATATAAGAAATATTTAGCATTTTTTCCTAAAATTTACATGGAGAAAAATGTGATAATGAGATTAGCGCTCTAGAAGCCATTAGACACACGTTTGGGAGAGAGCAAGGTCAGACTTGCAAACTTGCAACAAGTCATTTGTGTTTAGTCTGTGTTGATAAGGGTAGATTTGGATAGATAGGTAATAACCCAGCTTATTGTGCTATTTTAGGGTTTGAAGAAACTCTGAAATTAAAATCTTAAAATACCTTTATTTAACTCTGATAACATGAAGATTTTATGAGAAAAAATATAAATTTTATTTTTCACCATTTAGATTGTTACATTTAAGATATTTATAGAATTCATATCGTACTGATAACGAAATTCTTATTCTACTAGATTTCTACTAATATGAGATTATTGTTCTCATAGAACCTTAATTATATAGTACCAAATAATTGAATAACGAACTAAAATAATTAAATAATAAACTAATTAAATGATAAAATAATAAAATATAATTTTTTGGCTCTTTTGTGCGCATCTGCCTCCAGTTTAGCGATCCGGCGTAGATTCGCTTCTTTTACGTGTGAGTCTTTTCGAACAGCCTTTTTTGGTCCTTTGTAAGCTCTTCCACGCGCATACACCTTAGATTTGCAACTCAGTTTGCAAGTTGGACATGTGTGATATTCCTGCACCAACTTAGGAGAGGATATTGGATATGATATTTTATTATTTAATTATTTTAATTTATGATTTAACTATTTAATATTATGTAATTATAATTTTACGAAAATAATAATATCATATTATTAGAAATCTAGTAAAATAAGAATTTCTTGATTATTAGAATATAAATTCTATAAATATCGCAAGTGTAACAAATTAAAGGGTGATAAATAAAATTAGTTAATTTTTCTTCTAAAAACAACAGTTTGTTAATTACAACACTCTAGGCAATAACCTTGACCATAGAGGGAATTCAATGTTCCAAAAACAATGGTGAAGAGTCTCATTCAAGTAGTTTAGGTATCTAGTTTATAAAGCACTTCCTTTAAATGGCTATTGAAACTTATGAAGGAACAAGGCAGTTTTTGGAGGAGAGTGATCAAAGCTAGTTGGCATGGAAGACATGATTTGGTACTCAAAGGCTTCTAGTTGTCTGCATGGGGTGGTGATTTGGAAGAAAATTGCATGAGAAGGGGGGAGTTTCAGAACTGTATCAAATGAAAAGTGGGGTGGATCAAATGGTGAGTTTCTGGCTGGATGAATGGATTGAAGGTGGGACGCTCAAGCAACAGTTCCCTATGATATACTCTATTGATTATACAGGGAAGGCATGATGGACTCTTTGTCGAGATCATGTGTCGGTGGTATTTTGAGTTGTTGATCTAATGAAGAACCTCAATAATTAGGAGGATGATGATTATGTTAACTTATTTCAGGTTCTCTCGGATTATGTTAACTTATTTCAGGTTCTCTCGCAATGTGCAAACCTAATGAGGCTCTGAATGAACTAGTTTGGAAGCCAAACCGCAGAGGAGGTTTCTCTGAAAAATCATATTACCTGCAGTTGGTTAAGAGTGAGGGAGTAAGTGAGAAGTTTCCTTGTATATTCAAAAGATCAGTGCATCAGCTAGGAATTTCTTTTTGGTGCATGGGGAGCGACAAAGGAAGGCATTTTAACAATAGACAACGTAATCAAAAGGGGGAAAATGCAGATAAATGGGTGTGATTTGTGTAAGAGAGCTGCCAAGTTTTGCAACCATATCCTTCTTTGCTGCCTTTCTTGTATTGGCTTTGGTTCATGGCATATGGTCTATTGAGGGTAAATTGGTGATGATGAGAATAGTGGAAGAAGAGCTTTGAGCATGGAGATGCATCCATAAGGATAAATGCTTCAACAAGACCTTATGCCTTATCTATTTGGCTACCTTTTGGGTCATTTTGGAGGGAAGAAAGAGAAGAGTTTTTGAGAGTGTAGAGTCTACTTTTGATAGATTTAAAGATCTATAATTTTAGATCCTTAGCTTTTTGATTTATAATTTGGTAGACTTGTAAATATTTGTAGGCTTGCACTTCCTTGGTGCCTGCTTATATCATTTACTTTTATTTTTCAGAAAAAGTTTCATTTGTGCAACTATCATTATGAATGAGGTGGCTGAGAAATGACTATAAAAATATCCAAAGAGTTCAAAGTCCAAAGTTTACTATCAGAATGATAAGAATATTATGAGGCCTGACTAAGTTAAGCAAGGAGAGGATATGAAGAGACTCATGATTATCTAGGTTTTAGAAGAAATGCATATTCCACAAGGTATTGCCCCTCAAAATGATTTATGAAATTCTAGATCGGAGCCTCTAATGAAACCCCTCTCAAATCCCGAGATCGACAGCAAGTAGGAATATTCACCATCAGCATAAAAAAATGGGGGAGAGAGGATTAGCTTATCTTACACTTTTATGACCTCGAGACTTGGACTTAGGCTCACTATTAACAATAAACATGAGAGGCAGATTATAGACGATGACTTATCCACTTCCTTCCCCTCTTCCAAAACCTTTTGATGTGAGCATGGACATGACCCATAAAGAGGTTTCATTCAAAGGAAGAGAAAAATAAGCCCAACCAATTAACTTATGAGCATAATTGTTTCATCAACTTGCTTCAAGTACATGATAGAAAGGGGTAAGAAAAGGAAGCAATCAGCTAAGAAAAGGGAAAAATCATATCTATCATAGTAAGAAAAGGAAGCAATCAGCTAAGAAAAGGAAAAAATCATATCTATCATAGTTAGGAATTTAAATTTAAATTTTAATTAATTTCTTGTATATTGCACTTAATTAGGGATTTAGATTTTAATTTTAATTAATTTCTTATGTAATTGCAATTTTAAATTAGGAATTTTTTATTTTTTTTTTATTCACGTAGTCAACTCTATAAATAAGTCATCAAATTTTCATTGTAAGTATTCAGAAATTATCTCAATAATATTAAGATTGTTTCTTTTAAAGATAGGTTCTTCTATCACCTTGTTGAGTAAAGAGT